GGGTCCGCGCCTTCCCGCGGCGACGCCGTCGCTCTCCGACATCTGGCCCACAACGTCATCGTCATACGGGGCAACCCGACGGGCCTCGCGCCCCCGAAGGCCCGGGCATGGGGGGCGCGGGGGCGGGGCGCAACTTGGGCGGCAAGATGCGAAAGCATCCAGCCCCGGAGCATGTCGAGGCCCACCAGGCAACCGCCTGGGGCTACCTCGCAGTCCATGGGGCCCAAACGATCAATCCCATGGGCCGCCCAGCTTCTCATCTTCCTGACAGCGATCCAACAGAATCTGGGCTCGCGCAGAATCGCTGGGCGCCCCTGAATCTCGAGGCGCCGACCGAAGTCCAGGAAGCATCGGGGATCCTCTGACCCGGGTCAATCCAGACCCGGGTCAGCAGGAAACCAAAAACTGCAATGCAGGAAAAAAAAACTGCAACGCAGGTCCTCGCAAACCCGGGTCAGCCAATGCGCGCGGCCGCCTCGCGGCCACGAGCGGCTCCCTAACCCGGGTCAGCCAGAGGGGGCCTTCGCAGGATCCTGCAGGATCCGGCGCCCTGGCTGACCCCCGTTTGCACTGACCCCCGTCTCGAGGCTCCCGAAAGCATGCCGCAGGGCCCTCGCCGGCCTCGGAGCGATCCCAGGCCTTCTCCCGGCCCAGCAAGCTGCGCCCCCACTCGGCTCTTGGTCCTGGAGGGGCCTCGCCGCGCCCGGGGGGCGTGGGCCCTCGCCGCGGGGGAGCGGGGGCAAACGAGCGCCGCGCCGTCCCCGTTGGCGACGGCCTCTTCGAGGAACTCGGGTCACTCTGCGGCCGTCGGACCTCGCGGCGACAGGAAGAATCGGCCCAGCGCGTTCCGCCAGATTCCCAGCGAGCTTCGTCCAGCCAGCTGAGCCCGCAACAGGCGCTGATGCCCGCTCGCCGACGGGCCAATAGACAAGGCGCCAGACGGGGCGATCTCGAAGGGCCCGCGGCCCCGACGAAACCTCAGCAAGGAGGCCGGCGAACGCCGCGGGTCGCCCGCCAGAACCTGATCGCGGCCGAGCTCGCGCACCCTGTCGGCCAATCGCCCCCAGACCAAAGCCCCTCGACTAGCCGCATGGCGCGGCCCCTTCGCGAGGGCAGCCCCGCGCCCTTCTTGAACTTCCAGCCAGTCCCCCTCCCTCGACGCGCTCGGCCTCCAGGGCCCCGCGGGCGCCGGCAAACCCCTTCCCCATGGGCGCAGCGATGTTCCTGGGCGCCCCGTCGAGAGCAGCCTGATCCCGACGCGCTTCCAGCGTCGCCTGACCCCCCGCACAATTGGGCGGAGCAGGCGCAGGTCCCAACGACACCTCCCGGGGGATATGGCGCGGGCCAGCGGGCAACATCACGCGCGCAGGATCAGCTCGAGCCGCGACGCGTGAACCCGCAGGTCGACGAGGGGCAAGGAGCGACTTGGCGGCGACCGAGCAGGCCCTGACCCCGGGCGCCAAGACACCGGAGATCCCGAAAAATCCAAAATCCTGCTTTCTCCAGATCGGCACGATGCCCCCGGGAGCCACGACGCGAGAGCGGATCAGGTCTCCAAGGCGCACTGGCGGCTGACTTCCCAGGGGGCCGAACAGGTTCTCCGCGGCGAAGTAGATCGAAACAAATGTTCCTCGTTACATATACATTTATATATATGTATATAGGCGACGCGAGCATGAAAGGAGCTGAGGAAGGCGAGGTCACTCACCCAGCCCCGCATGAAGAGGAACTCCGATCCAAACTCTACTCGCGTGCCCCACCCCCCCGCGTCGGTGACTCTGCGGGGGCGTGCCGCCGTCGAATTCCCACGGTCGCGCAGCTGCTTCTCGCGCTGCGCCCGTCTCTCAGGGCGCGCCGCATCTCCTGGAAGCATGAAATCTGCACAGGTACGTCATTGAGTTGATTGGTCCGCCTCCGCCCTTCTTTTCTGAACATTCGCTATGCATGGATTTCAGGAAGTGGTGTTAGTACTCTAGATCACCATTTCCCCAAAGAGGACTTCTTCTTGCGGGGGGTGGCGGACTCGCGGCGACGCCACCCCGACTGGGGGTTGCAGGAGGGCGGTGCCCAGCCCCTGGGTGGGGGGCGGCACTGAGAACAAATGCGCCGGCCCACGCGCAGAAGGTGGTCGGGGGCTGGCCCCGCACAACCCCGCCCACGATAATCCGGCTCCAAGCTCTGGCCCCTCGCGCGCCAGGCGCAGAAAGAGCACCTGAGAGCGCCATCCTTGAAGTCCTTGCCCCTGGTGGGCGGGTGGTCATCCAAGCCGACGCGATCACCGCCCCACCAGGCATCCCGCGCCAGAGTCTCGGCAAGCGCGCAGGGAGATTTCGCAGCGGTCGCATCCGGCCCGCGGCTCTTCTGGTGGGCAACCAAAAATAAAAGACACTCTGGAATTGCCGTTCCCTCAGCCTCCGCCCGCCCGACTTTGGTCGGCAGCGCGGGGCCTTTTAGTGGCGCTGGTAAGCCTGCCTCGGCCGGTCGGAGCTAGCCGTCGCCGGTGCTTCACCCTCTCCGGAGGCCTTCTCACCATGTTTAGAGATCGCCTCTTTGGAAATCGCCACCATGTGAGTAGGTTCCACCCGACGTCTCTTCGACTCCTGCAAGCGCTTGGTGAAGGCCCGCCGCTCGTCCACCAAGGCGGCGGCCTTCTCCGTGGCCGTGCCGAGAAGGCCGCGCCGAAGGCCGACATGGCTGCCTCCGTGAAGATCGTGAGCACCTGAAATTTACGGATATGCAACCCCTCGCGCTTGGCTGTTGAGAGCTCGACCCCTTCGATGGCCAAGCCGAAGCATTTGTTGTCGTCGATATCAACCTCGCCGCCGTCCACGATCACATTGGGGTCCAGGTGGTCTTGACCTTGGCGTCGCCGTTGCCTTCCTTAGGTGTGTCCAACACCTCATCCTGGAGAACCCGCGCCGCACTCCTGATGCACACCGTGCGCTTTGATGGCAGTCTGGCTGGCCTTGCTGAGTGCTTTCTCGATATATGTGTTCGACGATGCGAACTGTTTGATACAGCCCCGCACGAGCCTGCACAAACGTATGCTTGACTGCCAAAAACAAACTTATGCGGAGGCGGGCGCGGGGATGTCTAGAGTTGCTGAGCGATCGCCCCGTAGCGCATATTGTGTTTAGTGCCCTGGAATTGTGTGAACACGCGGACGGGTTCTTCAAGCCGGGCTGCGCCTCAATAGCGAACTCCGTGTCCGTGGGTCGAATGCATTCTGGAGCCTGGGGCCGAAGTCCAGGCTTTAGGACTTGCTGTCGGGGGCCTGGTGTGGCTGGAACCTCGTATCAAGACTGCTGGCGACCCCAAACACAAGGAGGGCGGGCACGCCAGGGCGGTACGAAACTCGGCGTCGGTCGTTCCTCCCCGCAGTGCTTGACCTAACTCCACCACGACTCGTTGCGTTCACACCCACATTCGCAGGCCCAACGCTTGCTCTTCGCCGAGATCGCTTTGATATACCTATCACGTCCCATGGACGTGATTACGCGAGAGACAAAGACAGACTATCACGCAGAGCAAACGTGCGCAAAGGATGTGGGGCTGAAGCCCCGGTGCGGCATGCGGAAAAGACAGTCTGCGAGAGCGGTTGGGGCCTTCCCTCCCCAGTGCCAAACCGAAACTATCGTCCCTGAGCCTCCCGCCCCCGAACTTAAGTAAGCCCACAGGGCTACGGACCTTCTCCTCTCGTCCTCCCCTCCGCCATGTTCAATCCTTCCTCCCTTCGAGGTTCTCCCCGTCCCTTTGCTTCCCCCCCACCCCCCCCCGATCCACCCGCACGCCCCCTGCTGTTCTGCCACATGGCCCTCCCCACCCTCTCCCCTCGCCCTCCCCTCTCCATCACCTTGGCCCGCTCCTCCGTCGGAGTTCCTTATTAATGAAAACCCCTCCCCCCGGCGACCAGGGGCCAACCCGACACCATGCGACCCGCCCCCCACCATTCTTTTCCAAAAAATACAGACCGCACTGTGCCTCCAAATTTGGAGCATGCGCGGCCAACCCGACGCGGCTCCCCACATCATCCATGTCAAAGAATATGCAGGGTGCACTTTGGGGCAAAGTCTTGAGTCATCTTCGTGAGGCCCGCGAGCACGTTGTATTGTGTTTGACAAGGACGGCGGAAATTTCAGCAGATTCCCTGCTGTGCGCACGGTTACCAGGTAACCATCCCTGACGAAAACAAAAGACATACAACATGTACCTCGCGGCTGAATTTGGGCCATACGCGGCCATCCCGCGATCACTGTCAAGTGGTTTTTGATAGGGACGGCGGAAGTGGTGGCGCGTGGCCTGCTGTGCGCAGGCCCACCAGACACAATGATGGACATTGGCTTTCGACAAGGATTTGGCGGGGGCCGACATGGTTCCCGATGTGTGCTGTCACGTGCGCAGGCGCACCTGACGCACTCTGCACGTGCCCCGAACATGGCGCACCTGGCGCGGCTGTAGTGTGCGGCATACCTGGCGCACTCGGAGCACGTGGCGCATTTGGCGCACCAGGCGTGCCTGGCACGCTCGGGTCCCAGGGGTGCCTGGCGCGCGTGATGCCCTTGGCATGCGTGGCGCACCTCGCCCAAGCGTTGCGCACCTGGGGTTGGTCTTGGCTCCCAGTAAGCTGCCCATCCAAAGACGACCGCTGAACATGCTCAGGCTTGGGAGTTACGTATGAGTATGGAGGGCGGGTTGGGAGTGAGCAAGACGGCTTGCGGGCGAGCGGGTAGCTTGACCTCCCGCCAACCCCTCCCCTCAGCCCTCCTCCCTTCCCCTTGCCCTCCTTCACTCTCACGCCCCTCCTCGCCCTCCTTCCCTCCGCCTCCCCTCCCCTCGCCGCCCTTCTTCCCCCCCTCCCTGCCCATCCCCTCATCCCCCCCCCTGCCCCTCGCACCTCCCCGTCCCCTCCCCACGCCTCCCCCCCCGCCGTTCCTCGCCCTCCTTCTCTCGCCTTCGCCGATCCGCGCGCGCGCACGCGCCCCGCCCGGCCCTGGCCCCGCCGGCGGGAGACATCTCGCGGGGCCTCGGCGGGACGGGGATGGGGAGGGCCCGGGCGCCTCTCCCCGTCGAGCCTTCGAGGTGCGGGGGCGCTGGGCTTGGGCACTCGCCCCCTTCACCTGTGCAGCCTTCCGCCGGGGGGGCGGGCCGGGGTGCAGAACGGAGGGGGGGCCGCGCTGTGATCCAGGGTCTGGCCAGATGAGGCCAAGGGGCCCGGAGGCCATGGAGAACGAGGAGCGGCGACGGCGCCTAAGGGGAGCAGAGGAAAGGAAAAGGAAGAAGGCAACGAGGAGAAGCGGGGGCGATGGAGGAGGCAAGGGGGGAGGGATGGGAAGGGGAAGAGGGCGGGAGGAAAGCGGGGGCTGGCTGTAGGGAGGGAGGGGGGAGAGGGGAGGGGGCAGAGAGAGGGGACCACCAGGGGAGGGGCTTCTGGGGCGAGGAGAGGACCTTTTTAGATAGCCGTGCAACTGCGCCTGTGCCCTGCCGTGCCCCCCCCCCTGGGTGGTTTTCAGGGTAGAACTCGGCTCTCCGGCGACCATCTGGGACGATTCTGGCACCGCGCAGCTGATGGAAACCACCACGCGCTTCGAAAACTGTCGAACAATTCCGAAAACTTCGGAGTCGCCCTGCCACTACCCCCCCCCCCAATTCTCGCGTACACTCTTCCCGCCCGCAAGCCCCAGCTCGTGGGCGGCCAAGAGGGGGTCGTCCAAGAGAGGGGTGGGGCACAAATCATGTCCGGTGGCATGCGCGAGGCCCGAGGGTGGGCCGAGGACGTACTGAAACAAGAAGAGGCGCCATGAAATCTGAGTGGATATCATGGCCCCCGCCGTGATATCCCCCCCCTAGTCATCACGCCCCTCTTGGCCGCCCCCGACCAGCTGTCGTGCCTCGGCAGCTGTTGTCCGGGACTCTCTGGAGGTCGGCAGACAGGGGGCGGCGCAGGCCGCGCGGAGACGCCAGGGACAATGACGGCGGTGTGGTGCTCTCCAGGCTGATTGGCCATGGGCAGGTGGCGACATCTGAACACCAGGGCTAGAGCTCAACAGTGCTTTTCGTTTTCGTGCTGTTTTCGCTTTCTTTCGTTATGAATTGTTCTTATTTTGAAACGAAATCAAAACGACAACGGTCCACGAAATTTGCCAACACACCGTTTAGCTCCAGCCCTGCTGAACACAATCCCATCAACCATCGATTCTGCTGAGCCGATGGGAGGCGGGGGTGGGAGTCGGGTTTCGTCACGTGTTCGACGAATTCCGAGCCCTACCTCAACTAACCATCGAATCTCCTGAACCGATGGGGGGCGGGGGTGGGATGCGGGTTTCGCCACGTGTTCGACGGATTCCGACCCCTAGTCCCACCGCTCATGGAATTGCCTGAATCGTGGATCGGCGAGGGTAGGGCTCGGATTTCGCCACCGATCGGGCCCACTTCAGAGTCAGTGACAAAGATTCATGCCGCCAGAACAACCCCAGCCTCTCGCCGTTGCGTGGGTGATCGGAGGCTCGCCGCTGCTGTGCAGAAGTGCCCTGGTGTGGTCTTCAGAGGGCGGGCGGGCCGTCAATCGGTCCGGCAAAGCTCCCCGAGTACAGGGCACCGTGCGTGCAGCTGTGGGCCAGCCAGGGAGTACCGAGCAGAAACATCATCAGGTTGTACACCTCGCGGGCCCCTCATGTCGCGGGCCCCCCGCTCGCGCGGAAAGGAATTCCAACGGCTATGAGAATCAGCGAGCCCGCTCGAACGGAATGACCCTCAGGGGCATTCCATGCGAGCCCGCTCGCGCGGAAGGGAACTCCCCTGTGGCCCCTAGGGGGTCCCACCTAAAAGTTGGCTAAAAGTATGGAATATGCACACTATCAGAATGATGCTGCTCCTGCTGACGTTGCTGCTGCTCCTCCTCCACCTCCTCCTCCTCCTCCCCCTCCTCCTCCTCCTCCTCCTCCTCCTCCTCCTCCTCCTCCTCCTCCTCCTCCTCCTCCTCCTCCTCCTCCTCCTCCTCCTCCTCCTCCTCCTCCTCCTCCTCCTCCTCCTCCTCCTCCTCCTCCTCCTCCTCCTCCTCCTCCTCCTCCTCCTCCTCCTCCTCCTCTCCTCCTCCTCCTCCTCCTCCTCCTCCTCCTCCTCCTCCTCCTCCTCCTCCTCCTCCTCCTCCTCCTCCTCCTCCTCCTCCTCCTCCCTCCTCCTCCTCCTCCTCCTCCTCCTCCTCCTCCTCCTCCTCCTCCTCCTCCTCCTCCTCCTTCCCTCCTCCTCCTCCTCCTCCTCCTCCTCCTCCTCCTCCTCCTCCTCCTCCTCCTCTCCTCCTCCTCCCTCCTCCTCCTCCTCCCTCCTCCTCCTCCTCCTCCTCCTCCTCCTCCTCCTCCTCCTCCTCCTCCTCCTCCTTCCTCCTCTCCTCCTCCTCCTCCTCCCCTCCTCCTCCTCCTCCTCCTCTCCCTCCTCCTCCTCCTCCTCCTCCTCCTCCTCCTCCTCCTCCTCCTCCTCCCCCTCTCTCCTCCCCACTCGTCCTGCTCCTCCTGCCCTCCCTCCTCCCCCTCGTCCTCCTCCTCCTCGCTCCTCCTCCTCCTCCTCCTCCCTCCTCCTCCTCCTCCCTCCTCCTCCTCCCCCTCCTCCTCCTCCTCTTCCTCCCCACTCCTCCCCCATCCTCCTCCTCCTCCCCCTCCTCCTCCTCCTCCCTCCTCCTTCTCCCCCTCCTCCTCCTCCCACCCCTCTTCCCCCTCCTCCTCCGGCGCCTCTTCCGTCTCCTCCTCGTCCTCCTCCACGTCCTCCTCGACAAACGTCCATTTCAACCATCTCCTCCTGAAGGCACCGCGGTTGAAATCCCCCTCCCCCTTCCTCCTCCTCCTCCTCCTCCTCTCCTCCTCCTCCTCCTCCTCCCTCCTCATCCTCCTCATCCCTCCTCCTCCCCCTCCTCCTTCTCCCCCCCCTCCTCCTCCTCCTCCTCCTCCTCCTCCTCTCCTCGCGCGAGCGGGCTCGTTGGAACTCCAACTTTTAGGTGGGACCCCCTAGGGGCCACAGGGGCGGTCCCTTCCGCGCGAGCGGGCTCGCATGGAATGCCCCTGAGAGTCATTCCGAGCGAGCGGGCTCGCTGCTGCCAATAGCCGTTGGAATTCCAACTCTTAGGTGGGACCCCCTAGAGGCCACAGGGGAGGTCCCTTCCGCGCGAGCGGGCTCGCATGGAATGCCCCTGAGGGTCATTCCGTTCGAGCGGGGCTCGCTGATTCCGATAGCCGTTGGAATTCCAACTTTTAGGTGGGACCCCCTAGGGGCCACAGGGGAGGTCCCTTCCGCGCGAGCGGGTTCGCATGGAATGCCCCTGAGGGTCATTTCGTTCGAGCGGGCTTGCTGATTCCGATAGCCGTTGGAATTCCAACTTTTAGGTGGGTCCCCCTGGGGGCCACAGGGGAGGTCCCTTCCGCGCGAGCGGGCTCGCATGGAATGCCCCTGTGGGTCATTCCGTTCGAGCGGGCTCGCTGATTCCGATAGCCGTTGGAATTCCACTTTTTATGTGGGACCCTCTAGGGGCCACAGGGGAGGTCCCTTCCGCGCGAGCGGGCTCGCATGGAATGCCCTTGAGGGTCATTCCGTTCGAGCGGGCTCGCTGATTCCGATAGCCGTTGGAATTCCAACTTTTAGGTGGGACCCCCTAGGGGCCACAGGGGAGGTCCCTTCCGCGCGAGCGGGCTCGCATGAAATGCCCCTGAGGGTCATTCCGTGCGAGCGGGCTTGCTGATTCCGATAGCCGCTGGAATTCCAACTTTTAAGTGGGACCCCCTAGGGTGCACAGGGGAGGTCCCTTCCGCTCGAGCGGGCTCGCATGGAATGCCCCTGAGGGTCATTCTGTTCGAGCGGGCTCGCTGATGCAGACAGCGGTTGGAATTCCCTTCCGCGCGAGCGGGCTCGCATGGCATGCCTGGGGATGATGATCGTGTGCGTGTGCGTGTGCGTGTGCGTGTGCGAGTGTGTGGGTGTGTGAGTGTGTGAGTGTGTGAGTGTGTGAGTGTGTGTGTGTGTGTGCGTGTGCGTGTGCGTGTGTGAGTGTGTGAGTGTGTGAGTGTGTGTGTGTGTGCGTGTGCGTGTGCGTGTGTGTGTGTGAGTGTGTGAGTGTGTGAGTGTGTGAGTGTGTGAGTGTGTGAGTGTGTGAGTGTGTGTGTGTGGGTGTGTGAGTGTGTGAGTGTGAGTGTGTGAGTGTGTGAGTGTGTGAGTGTGTGAGTGTGTGTGAGTGTGTGATGTGTGTGTGTGTGTGTGCGTGTGTGTGCGCGCGTGTGTGTGTGTGTGTGTCCGTGTCCGTGTCCGTGTCCGTGTCCGTGTCCGTGTCCGTGTCCGTGTCCGTGTCCGTGTGTGTGTGGTGGTGTGGTGTGTGTGGTGTGAATGTGTCCGTGAGTGCGTGTGCGTGTGCGTGTGCGTGTGCGTGCGTGGGCGTGCGTGTGCGTGCCGTGTGCGTGTGCGTGTGCGTGGGCGTGTGCGTGTGCGTGTGCGTGTGCGTGTGCGTGTGCGTGTGCGTGTGCGTGTGCGTGTGCGTGTGCGTGTGCGTGTGCGTGTGCGTGTGCGTGTGCGTGTGCGTGTGCGTGTGCGTGTGCGTGTGCGTGTGCGTGTGCGTGTGCGTGAGCGTGTGCGTGTGCGTGTGCGTGTGCGTGTGCGTGTGCGTGTGCGTGTGCGTGTGCGTGTGCGTGTGCGTGTGCGTGTGCGTGTGCGTGTGCGTGTGCGTGTGCGTGTGCGTGTGCGTGTGCGTGTGCGTGTGCGTGTGCGTGTGCGTGTGCGTGTGCGTGTGCGTGTGCGTGTGCGTGTGCGTGTGCGTGTGCGTGTGCGTGTGCGTGTGCGTGTGCGTGTGCGTGTGCGTGTGCGTGTGCGTGTGCGTGTGCGTGTGCGTGTGCGTGTGCGTGTGCGTGTGCGTGTGCGTGTGCGTGTGCGTGTGCGTGTGCGTGTGCGTGTGCGTGTGCGTGTGCGTGTGCGTGTGCGTGTGCGTGTGCGTGTGCGTGTGCGTGTGCGTGTGCGTGGTGTGTGTGTGGGTGTGGGTGTGGGTGTGGGTGTGGGTGTGGGTGTGGGTGTGGGTGTGGGTGTGGGTGTGGGTGTGGGTGTGGGTGTGGGTGTGGGTGTGGGTGTGTGGTGTGTGTGTGTGTGTGTTTGTGCGTGTGTGTGTCCGTGTGTGTGTGTGACTGGGTGTGGGTGGCCCACGGCCGTCCAGAGAAAACAAAAACCCCACTTAGGATGCGGGGAACAAGAACCCCACTTAGGATGTGGGGAATAACTTACGGCGATGTTTGAAGGATTGTGGCTTGTGCTCCTTGTCAGCTCTCCGATGACCCAAGACGGCCCAAGAGGCTCCCAACATCGTCCTAAGAGCGCCCAAGAGGCCTCCAGAATGGCCCATGACAGCCCAAGAGGCCCCCAAGAGGGCCCCAAGAAGAGGCCAAGACGGCCCAAGATGGTCCCGAAGACGCCGAAGGTGGCCTCCAAGACGGCCAAGATGGCCTCCACGAAGCCTCCAAGACGGCCAAGAAGGCCTCCAAGACGGCCAAGATGGCCCCAAGATGCACCTCAGACGGCCGAAGATGGCCTCAAGATGGCCTTAGCCTGCCCAAAAGGCCCGCAAGAGGCCTCCAAGACGGCCCAAGAGCCCTCCAAGACGTCCTCCAGGAGGCCCGAAAGCTCGGAAACCACCTGGTCCGATAGCTCGCCCGACTCCGTGTTCCCCGAAGGCTTTCGAAACCCACTCGGGGAACGCGTGGCCCGATGCTTGGCCAAGCTCAAACCCAACTTTCGGCCACGCAGGCGCTTCCAAAAAGGCAGGGGGCGGCGGTGACTCGCCGTAGGCGTCTTCGATCCGCCGCCCCCTGTTGACTCATCACAGGAGTGCCCGGCGTGCTGAATCCTTTCGATTTTGGTTTTGGTTCTTTTCCAAAAGAACTCCCCCTGGGGCTTCGGCCCGCCCCGCCGGCCACCCAAAAGGCCGCACACCAACGTCCACAAAAAATTCTCCAAGACGGCTCAATATGGCCTCTAAGATGGTCACGTTGGCCCAAGATGGCCTCCAAGCTGGCCCAAGATGGCCTCCAAGTCGCCAAAGATGGTCCAAGATGGCTTCCAAAACGGCCCGAGAGAGCCCAAGATGCCTTAAAGTTCGTCCAAGGAGCCTCCTAGACGGCCCAAGATGGCCTACGACTGGCCAAGAGGCCCCCAAGAGGCCTCCAAGACGTCTTCCAGGAAGGCCCGAAAGGGCAAAACTCATTGATTTGCCTTATTGTGTTGGAGGACTTGGGCATGTTCTTCTTAACAGTTCTCCGACGGCCCAAGACGGCCAAAGAGGCCCTCAACATCGTCCCAAGAGCGCCTGAGAGGCCTCCAAGATGGCACCATGACAGCCCAAGACGGCCCAAGATGGTCTCGAAGACGCCGAAGATGGCCTCCAAGACGGCCAAGATGGCCTCCAAGATGCCTCCAAGACGGCCAAGAAGGCCTCCAAGATAGCGAAGATGGCCCCAAGATGCACCCAAGACGGCCCAAGATGGCCTCAAGATGGCCTCAGACTGCCCAAAAGGCCCGCAAGAGGCCTCCAAGACGGCCCAAGAGCCCTACAAGACGTCCTCCAGGAAGCCTCCAGACGGCCAAGATGACCTTCAAGATGCCTCCAAGACGGCCAAGATGGCCTCCAAGACGGCGAAGATGGCCCCAAGATGCACCCAAGACTGCCCAAGATGGCCTCAAGATGGCCTAAGATGATCAAAACGGCCCGCAAGAGGCCTCCAAGACGGCCCAGGAGTCCTCCAAGACGTCATCCAGCAAGTTCCCCGAAAGCGCTCCAAACCGACTCGGGGAACACTCGTCCCGAAAGATTGGCAAGGATCTGACCCAACCTTCGGCCAGCAGGCCCCAAGACGCCTCCAAAAGCTCACAAGAGCCAAGGGGTCCCGAGCACGCCCATTCCTCAATCTCCTCCTCTTCCCCGTCCTCTCCCACGTGTTCTCCGAAGGCTTTCCAAACCGGTTCGGGGAACCCATGGTCCGATAGCTTGGCAGGGCTCTGGCCTCAACGTTCGGCCACATAGGCGCTTCCGAAAGGGCAGGGGGCGGCGGTGACTCGCCGTAAGCGTCTTCGACAATCTCCCCGCTCCCCTCACAAATTACAACCCTCCACGTTCCACATGTTCATCATCATGTTCCCCCTCCTCCTCCTCCTCCTCCTCCTTCTCCTCCTCCTCCCCGTTCCCCTCCGAATAATCATCATCACCATCATCATCATCATCATCATCATCATCATCATCATCATCATGATCATCATCATCATCATCATCACCATCATCATCATCATCACCATCATTATCATCATCATCATCAGCATCACCAGAATCATCCTCAGTATCAGCATCATCATCAGCACCAAAAGCGTCATCATCATCACCAGCATCATCATCAGCATCATCATCCGCATCATCATCCTCACCATCAGCATCATCATCAGCATCAGCATCATCATTGCCATCATCATCAGCATAATCAACACCGGCAGCATCA